GCAGATGTTCACTGTAGGAAAGGCACAAGAGGCCTGGCTTTGCAAACATTGTGAGCTGTGACCGTGTGGCAAATTCTACAGGCAAAGAGATGTCTAAGAGTAATGCAGGCAGCTGCGGGCATGTGAATCATGGGAGCTAGCATGTATGTACTTGGGCTGGGCATCAGAGTCTGAGAACTGCATGTGCAAACAGGCCTGCCACTGCATAGATATTTAGCATGTACAGTACAGGAGACCCAGGATCATCTGCACTCCCATGGGGGTTCACACCCCTCCTCATTCACAGCAGCTGCTGATTAAGGGATGAGCCACGCAGCTGTCTACCGCAGCTTTTACTTCAAACTCCTCTAGCCCACTGGAGTGCAGCCATTGTCCAGGCAGCAATTTGTTACCCTGTGTATACCCCAGTTGGTTCAAAAACCCTCCTCATTGCTGTGAGGTCAGGAACTGAGTCTCCCTGCCCTACCCTTACCTGGAGCCCCAGGCACATGGGCTCACCTACCCCCTTCCTCCAACCCAGGTTTGTTCCTCATGATAGATGGTTTCATTTCCAAGCAACAGCATTCTCCCCATCTTCCTTATGAGCTTCCTGCCCTCCCCCCCAGCCTAACCCCTCTCTGCGTTAAGAAGCTGTTCCTGATATTTAGCATAGCTCCTCACCCTCATCTCATTGCTCCTGGTGCTCTAGTCCTGGCCACTGCCCCCTCCTTCCTCCTTGTTTACAGTCTTCAAATGCTGGTTGACGGTTATGTCCACATTTGTCACCACTTAAGCAAGCCCCACTGAGGGAGCTCTGTCCTCCTGAGTCAATCCTTCTAGGCTGCAATCAGGTTTTCTTGTTCCTGTCCTTTGAACTTCTGCCAATTTGTCTACCTCTTGCTGGCATTCAGGTGCCTGAAACTAAAGGGAATCAGGAGACAGGGGAAAAAACAAATAAAACTAAAGCCAGAGCTTTGAAATGAAACAAAATGCAAATTTCAAAGCTACCAGCCTGTGATGGAAGCTCTGAAGGAGCTCTCCCCCTGGACAGAATGTGTCTGCTTGTGGCGGGCTTGCTACAGAACTGGGCAGTGCTACCTACCTGATTCCAACAGAGCTGGTAATGCCCAAGTAACCAGATTATCCACTGGGAACTAGCAGGTTGTTCATGTCCCAGGGGCCAGCTGCTAAAAGAACCTCTAAATTAGACACTCTTCTTCTTTGATTCATGTCCCAGATTCATGTGAGTTTGTCTCAAGCGAGGTTTCATTTCTAACAGGCCAATGGCTGCAAATTTGCCAACATTACTGATGCACTGCAAATCTGAGCCTTTTGATACAAAGCCACAAGCCCAGACAGTCACAGCAAGCTGACCACTAGACTGTGGGCAAAAGAACACATATGCCAGCATCACTGACATTGTCTTTATACATCAATATAAATTATGCCACGCTCCAGAGCAAGCAGACAAGTAGCTGTCCTGGGGGAACTCACATAGGAGGTGGCTCTTACTGCACCTTACCACTAGGTGGTGAGGGAGCACTCAAAGGTAGTGATTTTCAACCAGGGTGCCAGGGCAGACCAGGCTGCCTTGCAATCCTTTCAGAGGTGCTAGGGGTGCCCCGTAATGTTAGCACTGTTAGGTGTGCAAGCATGTTTCACCAAATAAACCTGGAGATTTCCAGTAGGAAACCATAATATCACAAACATTCGGCCCGGCTTTCTGAGTTCTTTGTGACAGAAGAATTGCTCTGTTATTATTCCATAGTCAAAAATGAATGAAAATATGAGTTGTGTTTTCCAAGAGTGCCTGGAGTCTAGAAAGGCTGAGAACCACTGCTCTAGATTTTTCACAAAGGCTACCCCAGGATGGATGTGGACATAGTATCTATGTCAATGTAACTCACGCCCCCAGTTTTTCCAGGGGTAATTCTCCAGCAGATTGAGTAAAATTACTCTGGTTTAAGGATTTCAACTGCCTGTGCACTACTTCTACACCCCTGATATGCTGACTATGCTGGGGTCAGTATTTCATCTGTCCAGCCCTTGAGACTTGTTTCAAGCACTGAGGACCTGATCTGAAGCTATGAAGCTCAGTCAGAGCCTTCCTGTTGGCTTCAGAGAGCTTTGGATCGGCCCTGCCTCAGTGCAGGAGATGAACAAGCTGCTTTACTGGTCGGTGCGAGGAAAGTCCAGGGACACAGCAGCAACCAGGCTGCTCTCCACAGCTCCAATGCTCAGCTCTGAGCCTTGTTCCCTGCAGCCCTTCTTAAAGGAGCAGTGTATGCCCAAGGCTGCCACAGCTAAGCCCCCACCTACCTCATCTCAACTCTGGATCAGGATCCTCATCCCAACACAGGTGACTGGCAGCACAAGGGCCCTGGCTAGGTTGCATTTTCTACAGACAGGTGGGCTTCGTGGAGCTGGAAGGCATTTATGAGTGAGGAAGAACAGTGGCTGACAGGTGTCCTTGAGCTTCTCCCCTTTGAATATGAGGTGAGAATGGGAGCCAGGCTGGACCCTGTGCGAGCTTCGATTGCAGCCCATCAGTTTCCGCAAGGGGCCTGGAACAGATTGCTCCTTAAAACAACCTTGGTGCCTTTGCCTCTGCAGCCCTGGCAGCTAATGTGAGCATCCATCATCCTCCAGATGGGGGAAGCAGTGCAGGTCTGTGGTGCCAGGCATTGTACACTGGCAGCAGCTATTTATCTCACACGCAGAGCCCTACAACCTTGAGGTTCACTGCTCAGCATCTGCAGTGAGCAGCATGGGCTTGTCCTGCTGGAGCTACAAGCACTACTCAGCTAGCTGGCAGCAGCAGTAGGGTGTTATCCTCTAGTGACCAAAGAAGGCGATGCAGCACACTTTGCCAGCATATTGCCTCTGTGCCACGCTTTGTGAGCCACTCTCCAGGCACACACACAACTGCATTGCTATGGAGGATTCTGCGTAGCATGCTGTGAAGTTAGCCAACATTTTCCATG